TGTACTTGCTATCATTTTAGGAGGTACATTCATGTATTTTGTTTGTAACATGCATCTCTCTCTCTCTCTTTTTTTAAAATGGAGGTACTGGGGATTGAACCCAGGACCTCGTGCTTACTAAGCATGTGCTCTACCACTGAGCTATACCCCACTGCTAGAATATTCATGGCTCTCTTAACTAGTGGTCTCCAAGTCTTTGTGATCATGCCTTCTGTACTAATAAAAGCTTTTGATAATATGTTCTCATATCTGTATATCTATTGACATAAATAATGTATATATTTTCTATACTAAAATATTAGGTACATTATAAGGCACATATAGAAATTAGAAAGGTTGAGATAAAAAAATGCACAGTCATGGAAGTTCTAGTTAAACACATTCTTCCTGTCTTCTTAGGAGGCATGGTCTCCCACTTTGGAGACCCTTGCTCTAGAACTGGGGCTGCGAACTTTTTCTGGAAAAGTCCAGGTAGTAAATACTTCCAATGTTCAGTTTCTGTTGCTGCTACTGGACTCTGCCTGTGTGGAGTGAAAGCAGACAGAGGCAATGTTTTCAAAATGGGTGTGGCTGTGTTTCAAAAAAATTTTTGAAAACAGGTGGTGAGCCAGTTTCAGCCCTAGGGCCATGGTTTCTGATCTCTGCTCTGGACTCTAGGGAAAACTGTGACTCCAGATTTACTTTCCCAGGAGATGCTAGTTGCTCCATAAGGAGCAGCCAGAGACTAGAGTCCCACTTTTCGTTTTTTTCAAACTGCAAACCAACCCATTTTACAGATAAGGAAACTAAGGCCCAGAGAGGCAATACCACCTACGAGGCCAGCAAGGGAACTTTGTTGTGTGGGACTACAAGTTACATCTACTAACCATATGGCCTTGCCCAGATCACAGAACTACTACATTTAATAACAGCTGTATTACATCGCTTTATTGATAAAGAACATTCTCAGCAAATCATGATGTCTTAATGTTGGGATTTCACATCATTTCATTAGAAAATACTGAGTTTATGGCTCAGAAAGGTTAACCAAATTGAAAGAATTTAAAAAGAGAGTTAAAATAGAAAACAAACTTGTAGTCACAGTGAAAAAAAAATGTGACAATGAATATATGTATGTTCATGTATAACTGAAGAATTGTGCTCTACACTGGAATTTGACACAACATTGTAAAATGACTGTAACTCAATAAAAAATGTTAAAAAAGAAAGGAAAAGAAAACAAACTTGTAGTTATCAGAGGGGAAAGGGAGTGGGGAGGGATAAATTGGGAGTTTGAGATTTGAAGATACACACTACTATGTATAAAATGGATAAACAACAAGGTCCTACTGTATAACACAGGGAATTATATTCAGTAGCTTGTAATAACCTGTCATGAAAAAGAATATGAAAAGGAATATATACATGTATATGTATAAATGACTCACTATGCTGTAATCAGAAATTAACACAACATTGTAAATCAACTCTACTTCAGTTTAAAAAAAAGTCAAAAAATAAAAAAGAGAGGTGAAAAGAAAACCAGCCATTTGCTTTCAGGAAAGGCAGGAAAGGTTTTGCCTCATATTACTAAGGGAAGAAGTTCTCGAGGGTTTCCTTTTGGTAACTGTACCTGGTATTAATGATCCATTGAGGTGTTGTTTAAACGTGCACAGTCAATACCTTCTGCAGACAACACCCTAGCCAGCAGCATGCAGGGGACTTTCACACAGGCCACACGAGACACAAAGTCATAGCTGATTCATGGCCAAGGACACAACTAACGTGAGCAGTGAATAAAGTCTTGCCCCGAGGGTCAGCAGATCAAGAAAGATGTTGCTCCACTGCAATTACTTAAGGTCACAAACTAGTGCCTCTTTATCTGTCCGGCTTCTGGACGGAGGCCCAGACCTAGCACAGCATGAACAGTGTCTGTGGGATGAATGAATGAATGAATGAATGCATGAGTGAGCGACGGGGCTGCCAGAGGATGGCGTCCTTTACGGAGACTTCCTAAAGGTGTTCTCATTGCTTCCACTTTTTCATGTCTCCTTCTGTTTCTTTAAGACGACTGAAGATCACGATGAGAAATAATCTCACAAGAGGAATCTGAATAATGATCTGTTTCATGGAAAAGGAATTATGGGCTAGAGATACAAAATTACTGGGCCAAGACTGTACATCTTTTGGTAGAGGCTTTACAAATAAATAAAATTTATGGATGTTTTTCACATCTTTGTAATATCTTTTCAAAACCCAAACCCATGATTCTAACAATGTGTCCAGACTACTGAGGATTTTCAAATGTACTTTAAAACCAGAACTATGAGGCTTTCTTTGTAATTCTACACATCAAATTCCAAGGTGGTGGGGAAATAAAATTCATGAGTGATTCGTCCCCAAAGAGCTCATAGACTTTCCTGCTAGGGTTCCCCATTCTCACTCTTTTGTGACCTAAAAAACTCCCCAATGAGAACTGATTTTGAGTGAATAGGAAGCAGAAAGTTTCTCTCTCCCCTATCCCCAATTCTTCTATGTAGGGACAGTTTTTAGAAACTCCTTTTAACAAAAGATCACACTCTTCATTCCATAAAAATACTTAAGATGCAAACATCTCTGGAAGAGCCAAAACAAAACTGTTGACTTAGATTCACACGAAGGGGTAAATGGCTTATCAGATCTTTTCCAGGGAGTAGGTTCTCATAGTTACAGACTCCAGGGAGAGAAAAAAAACACTGGGGAAAAATAAAAGGAATGTTGCCTAATTTACATCTTTGCTTGAGGCTACCCTGCCTCTGAATTTAGTGGCATCTCTACTAGGGGATTTGTTCTGAGCACAGACAACTCCAATGCCAAGTCTGTTCCTTCAGGACCACAGCCTTATCTCCTCTACCTGCCTGCTTTTGTCCTCCCAAAAGTCACTCTGCCAAATGCAATTCCAGTTTCGTCCCTGTCTGTCTCAATGAAGCTAATCTCATGGGATAAATTACGGAACGAGAACCTTTTAACTAAGTGTAACCCAGTTGACAGTAAAGGACTCAGGTTTTCCCTCCCTAACAACAATATTACTGTCGGTTCCCATGGAAGCAGGCTCTGTGTTGGCTCTGCAGCAGGAAGTTTATTGCCGAGGGTTCTCAGAATCAACACCCCTGGGGCACCAAGGGGAGCAGGCTTAGGCTGGAGAGAAGTTGGGCTGCAATGCATTTGACCCAAAGGTCCCAACCAATCCGACAGGGAGGTCTACAGTCTCGGTGGTCCTTCAGAGCAGTCCTGCATTAAGGCAGGAAAGCTGCCCCACTTAGAACCCAGCATTGACCAGCCATTGAATGAAGTCTGTGCCTAAATAGAGGGGAATGATCTTGGAGAGATCTTGGGCAAGGCAGCTCCTTCAACCGAGGACAAGTCCCAAAGAGGTCTATCCGACAAAGGCCATCAGCCATCAGCACTCCCAGCGCTGGGGAAATATGTTCATCAGTCCTGGGGGAGGAACTTAACCAGGAACCATGACATTCTCTACAATAAATCACTGCTCCTTCCAAGTCCTTCCACACTTTGAACAAGGGCTCAGAGACATAGAAAACTGACAGTTATTTTGTTAGAAACTTTACCAAGATCTGTTCTTCTTTTCAGAAAATCATGGCACCTGCAATAATGTCACCCCCCCCATGGTTTGGTTTTGAGTTGCCAATTCAACACACCAGGGTCAGTCTTCATCTGCAACTGTCACACTGATAATAATGCAACGGGAGCATCTGCTCGCTTTCCTGTAAGTGCTGTCAGACTCACAAATTAAAATGCCCTAAATGCATATTATAATAAATCACTTTTCTGTTATTTCTCCTTGATACTTCAGTTTAAAAATATGTGCATAAGTAATAATATTCATATAAATTTCATTTCAGGATTGTGAAGGAAGCATTATAAAATATTTGACACAAACAGAGAGAATTCGATCTGAAAAAGTAATTTAGGATTGGAACTTGCCCTGGAGTAACTCCTCTGGCTGTTATGTTAATGGTAAAATCATCTAGGAAGCTATAAAATATCCTGACGTCCAGGCCAACACCTCAGACCAATTAAACCAGAACCTCTGGGGCTAAAATCCCAGCATCATTATTTTGGAAAGTCCCCAAGGAATTGCAGTGCACAGATCAGGTTGAAAAGTCTGGGTCCGAGCGCAGGGTTCTCAAACTTGTGTGTGTTTTACAATCAGCTGGAAAGCTCCTTCCACCAAGTTTTGCTGAGCCCCACCCCCAGAGTTTCTGATTCAATAGCTCTGGGATTGGGGAGGGTAACTTGCATTTCTAATCAGATTCTGGGTGATGCTGACGCTGCTGTTCCTGGGACCACACTTTGAGAAACAGGGTTCTTGGGGCTTTGTCTACCACTCCCCCCATCATAGTTAGCAAATTGCACTCTTACTTCCTGGTTTCCCTACCCTCCAAGACAATGTTTCCCTTAAATCAGCTTTTGCAAAGACCCTTCCCCCTCTACACAGCTATTTCTGAATGCCACATTTTCCCATCCCCCTGAGCGGCAACCGCCAGCCATCAGGTAAGATGACCTCTAACTTCTCCTGAGATTTGTTCATCTCCTTTTGTCTTGACTTTCTCTGTCATTACAGATTACAGGACTGGAGAGACTCCTTTGAAATAGCACACTAATTGCTTCTGTTGCATACTTCATGCCCTGCGTTCATGCTGTTGGAAAGCAAATCGCTCACCTATGTCTTTTCACGCTTGCTGTTTTTTATCCTGAGATGGGCCAGATGCAACTGTCGTACACAGCATCTTGCTGCCAGGATCTAGAAGTGCGTGATGCTGTTGTGACTCAAATCAGGCAACGTCAGTAAGTAACGCAAAGATGGGCAGCAGTAATTTGGCGACAGCCCTCTCTTAGTTCCCCCTAAAATCATGGTATTTCACAGGAGGGTTTAAGTAAGATTTGTTCAACCCCTGCCTCTCCGCAGTGCTTTCAGTGGGATGGAGACCTTTCCAAAACTCGTATTAAGACATACTCTCATGCTTGCTTCTTAACACCCGTACTAAAATCAGAACAAGACAGAGAAGATTAACGTGGCTCCTGCACAAGGATGACATGCAAATTTGTGAAGCGTTCCATGTTTAAAAAAAAAAAAAAAGACTCATACCCTCAAATCCAAACACGAAATCTGAAAAGGTGTTTGAAGATTCAGTTAAAAATCAACTTTCCCTTTGAAGAGAGCCTGGAGAAAAAGGAAACCCCACAAGTCCTCGTTTTCTGTAGCCAAAGAAAAACAGTCACACAATTTTTCAGTTTGGCCAAGATTAATAACTCATAATCTGAAGATATTGGCTTCTTTTGAAGTGAGTATCAAGATTTATTGACCCGCGGAGTAAATATTAACGGAGGTGAAACTGAGGTTAATAAGAAACCTCAAGGGATAATACATCTTTATATTTGCTGAAATAAAAAGTCAGCCCATCTATGGCTCCTACAGACATTCAAAAACCTCCTTAACCAAAAAGCTCTGGAAAGCTCTTTGCTGTGACAGATTGCTTAAATATATGGTGGGATTTCTATCTGCATGATCATTCTCCGGGTACGGAGGCAGCCAGCAAAACAAAGCATTAATCACTTCCTCTGAGGATCATCAGTAGCCAATCAAAGGGCAGCGACTTATTTACATACAAGATCTGATTGGCTCAACCAGCATCTCAGTCTGTCGGTCCTCCTACTGTAGGCAGGGTATTGATCTGACCCGTGCAGATCTTCAGCCGCCTAAGAACTCCATCTTTTCCCCCACATACAACATAAAAGTATTGAAAACTTCCAGTGCCGCACAAATCCAAATACATATGCTCATTGTCAACAGCACATTTTATAAACGAATGTTTGTTAAGGAGACAGTTTTTTTTTTTTTATAGGAAATATAAATTTACATGAATGAAGGAAAAGAATTCTGCGCTCTGGGGCCTGCAGGCCCTTGTTGGAATTCTGGCGCTCTCACTTAGTTGCTCTGTGACATTGGGAAAGTCACTCAACTGCTCTGTGCCCCAGTTCTTCATCTGTAGGATGAAGAGAACAATAGCTGTTACTTCAAAAGGTCGCTGACTAAATGAACTAGGACACATTAAGTCATTTCAAGTGTGCCCAGAGCGCAGTAAGGGGTATATAAATATTTGCTTACTAAAAAAGTTCTGGGCAAAAAGGAATGTTAAGATGATTTGGCCCCAAAATCTTAAACCTCTGTGGGCATCTGATTTATAATTTTCTCATGCTTGGCCTGAGCCATTGACTATTAAGCGTTGCTATTACTGATACTTATTTAAATTCAAATTGAGTTGCCAAAATCTAAAGTTCAGAAAAATTTCATGTAAAATAATCAGGGAATGAAAAACTTCGAAAGACACATCCTTCCTAGACTCATGTTCTCAGAGGTCAACAGTCAAATGGTGCTAAGGGGCGGCTGCCGGCAGCAGAGAAGGAAGGAAGGTGTCCCTTCCCAGGGCACATGCTGTCCATTACTCCCCATCCTGAGGCTGAGGGTCAACTAACAGGGACGATCCCAGTGACACTGTTGCTTTTACTGTTGTGGATCAAACAAGAAACAAAAATGTCTCATCACATCCCCGTCTTTTTCAAAAACAGTAAAAAGAAACAAAGAGCTACACGTTTCAAAAAAAAAAAATTGTAAGCCAGAGACACTTTTCTAGAACATAAAGATTTCTGGGTTTAATATGCCAACAAAGTGTGTCTGCAGGAAAAGAATACAACTTTATCTGCCATTAGGAAAACAAACCACGAGAAGAACCATGACTGATGTGTGGAAAGAACGCCAGTGAAAAGATGAATGATCTGTGAGAGACTGAAATTCCAACACAGTCGTTTTTGTGCGTGGGAAGAGAACAGGCGGGGTGTGATGCTGTGACACCCAGTAATGGACACGTTCACGTTTATGTCACCTGTCCTCCCTGGGTGGGTGTTTGTATCTCTGACCCCTGACCTGAGCCAACCTCATCACTGGATAAATGAAGGAAATGAAGCCAGAGAAGTGAGGGAATTTGAGGTGGATGTGAAGCCACAACCTGGGTCTCTTGGATCCACTCTGTAACTTTCTACCGTTCAGGGACGAACACCGATGGCTTCCAGGGTGACCCCATGATGACAGAGTGAATACACCCTCATGTGAGCTGGCTCGCAGCTTCTCACCATCTTATTAGACCACAAGACACATATTCTCCGGGTGTCGGCGCTCCAGTTAGAAAACACTAACCTGTCTTGGAATTATAATTGCCCAAAGCGTTTGTAAGATGGAATAAAATGGTGGCTCTACTGGTGTTTGGGTCAAAAGAAGGTAGAAATGAAGTTAACACTCACCAGAGGCCTGAACTGGCAAAATATAAATGTTGAGTGAAAACATAAAACAGACGCCTGAACAGTAAGTACACATTTGGTGACACATCTCATTAGTTGCCAGAAATGTCTCCATTTTCCTATCGTGAAACATTAGCGTCTTCATTTCTTTTGAGGAAAATGCAGCATCACTTGACATCTCTTACTTAACCTTAGTCAAGTCCCTGATTCACTCTAATTATATTATCTCATTTTTCTCCCAATCCTACGAGCCCACTGATGAGATACCATTAGAAAAATGGCAAGATACACGACTGAAAATATATTTTAAAAAAAAGACTGTGATAAAAAAAAAAGCAAGAACAAAAAACTTACCCTCTCTTATACAGACATACAAGTTCTTAAAGCCCAAGGTGACAATATTAATTAACATCTACAATTACTTACAAGATTAATTAACATTTACATTTATCATTTACTACAATTGTTTTACAGTAAGCGTTTGGTTTCCAATGCCTTTGCTACTCCTTTTTTGGTCAACGGCTTTCCCAAAATAGGAAATAAGAATTCTTATTCTATTGTTTATTTTATTTTGGATGGTGTTTTGTTTTTTGGGGGGAGGGGGAGATACTAATTGATCTCTTTTTCCATCAGTATTGTTCCTTCTTTCCCTCACTGCCCCTGTTCTAGGGGAAGGGGTCTTTTAGAATTGCCTCAAGGAAGGGATCTAATGTCTTTAGGGTGGAAATTCCCATAAAGGGTTAAAATGGTTTTCAGATTTTGGCTTACAAAATCCAAAACCAATCAAAAATGTTGGTCGTATATCAAGAGAAAGAGTCTAAGGGCAAATACCAAAGCGGTAGAGTTAATCATCTTGGGAGAGTTAAGAAGAGGAAATGAGGGCTGTAAGGTCCCAAGAAAATGAGGTTCCGTACCCTGTTTCCTGGGCAAAGCTCATGGCATGTGCTCTGCACTGCTGTGAGAGCTGTGTGTGCACCCCTTTAATCTGCACCCCGATCCTAGGAGGGAGGTGCAGCGGTGGTCCTCCTCATTTGACAGGTGAGCAGAGACCCAGAGGGCACATGAACTTGCCCAAAGCCACACAGAGACAGAGCAGCAGAGACGGGTTTCAGAACCAGGCAGTGTGGTGTCCAGAGTGAGGCCTTTAGCTCTCTGCCTCCAATCCTCCCCGCGTGGGACACAGAGGGACCAGCAGAGCCTGGAAGAAAGGTTCCCAGGGCGGACTGACTTTTCCTAGTCACTCCAAGGGTTTCACGGTAACTTTATGACGAGGACAGTCGAGGTGTGTATCAGGACCCCGTTACACTGGTGACTTACGAGACCTCCAATCTGCAGCTGAATTTGATCTTGGAAGAAGGCAGGCGGCAAGTCGTATCATTATAATTCAAGCTTCTATTTCCTACAGGTAAATGTGATGAGGTTTCATTTCCGGAAAACCATTAGACTCCATAAAAATACCAAGGTAATCACAAGAGCACAGGAAAGGAACACAAATGTAAGCTTTTGTAAACATTTCTTGTGTTAAAAACATTTAACATATGTTTGGTTTCTGCAGGTACTAGTGTCTTGTTGAAGCAGGTTAAAATATAAATCAATGAAGTTTGGATGGAAGATAAATGATTTTT